ATCCACTACTATGATGTAATGGTATCCATTCAGTGGACCTGCAAAATCCACATGTAATCTAGACCATGGTAGATCTGTTTTTGGCCAGGGGTTAAATTTTATTGGGGGTGCCTTTGCAGCTAACGCACAGCCTTTACATTTTGCCACTGCGTTCTGTCCATATTCAGCCAATATACAAAACTTTGCATTAGACTCTTCATCCTAGTGCTGCCCGGGTGACCAGTATGAAAATCCTTTAGTATTGGCTTCTGCAGTATGTATGGAATCACCACACGTTCTCTGTACAATGATACCGTTTCACAAAGCGAATAAACATTTGTTGTGTACTGGTCCCTCCCGGCTATTTTTTCTTTTATTTTCAAGATATACTTGTCCCTGGTGACTGCTTCTTTTATTTTTTTCTAGAGTTACCGGAAGTTCCCGAACTGCATTACACACAGTAAATTTCAGCTCCCTTTCTGACTTTAGTGAGGCAATTACCGTATCTTCTAATGATGTATATTTGGTAATAATGAGCTAATCCCCAAAAACTTTGTAATGTGGTAATATCATTCAGAGCCAGCATGTCTTTTATAGCTGCTGCTCACTCTGGATCTAGCCTTCTACCATTCTTATCGATGATCTTCCCCAGATATTTTATTTTCTCCATAAAAAACTCACATTTGCTTTCCTTGAGTATAAATCCAAAATCCTGTATTCTTGAAACTACTGCATTTACATGTTCCACGTGTTCTGCTATACTTGTACTTCTCCTGAGGATGTCGTCCAGATACGCTACAGCAAAATCTAGACCACCCAACATCAAATCCATTACTTGTTGGAAAATGGCGGGTGCGACCTTAATCCCAAAAAGTAGTGTGTTAAATTTATACAGACCCCAATGTGTGTTTATACACAAAAATTTTGATGTTTCTTTTTCTACCGGTATTTGCAGATATGCGTTGCTGAGGTCTATCTTCGAAAATATTGTGCCGTCATTAAGCTTCGCAAATATTTCTTCCGCTGTTGGTAGAGGATAATTATAGTCTTTGAGTGCCGCATTCAAACCTGTGGAAAAAACAGCACAAACATGAATTTCTTTAGACTTTTTTTTTTTTTTTTTATATATACCGTCGGTGTTGCCCATTCACTATACTCAACTTTTTTTAAGTACACCGGTTTTCTCTAAGCTGTCCAATTTTTTATCTACCTGTTCAATTGAGGCAAACGGCACATTCCTTTTCTTTTTGAATACCACCTGAGCGTTTTCTTTTAGCTGGAATTTTGCCTCCATCTTGGTACACATTCCCAACCCTGGAGAAAAAACAGTAGGAAATGTTTCCTTAAGTTTCTTTATTAATTTTTGGGTTTCAAAAATTTAAACTTTGTACCTTGTAACAGAAGGAATTTATCGGCAGATCCCATAATTGGAATTCTGTTATCCAATTCATACCAAGTAAGTTTGTGGTATTTTCTATGACAAATAGGTTAGCTTTTAGTGTTTTTTTTATTTAAACATGACATTTGTAACAAATTCCCCAATAAATTGTATTTTTTCTCCCGTCACTTTTCTTTGTCTTCATTAAAGTTGGTTTCCCCAACTTCTTCCACGTATGCAAATTTATGATAGGTAGATTTGAGCCAGTGTCAAGTTGCATTTTTATATTTTTATTACTTATTTTGACAGTAATAAATTTTCTGGTTGTTCCATCTTTTATCTCGTTGGACTTTAATTTTCTTATTTTATTGTCTTTTATTTTTTTCCCTGCAGTGCGAGCTTTTATGACCCACTCTTTTACAGTTGAAACATTTTTTATTCCTAAAATTGCAATACCAGTGAAGTTCACCGCACGCAAAACATGGCTTCGGGAGTTTTTGTTTATTTTACTCTGGTATTTCACTTTTGGCTTGATAATCTGCAATTTTAGAATTCTTTTCGGTAGACTGACTTTCTTCTTTGTAGCGTATTTTCCTTACATGCGAAACGCCAGACTGTTCTATCTTTTTTGAATCTTTCTTTACGCTAACATATCTTGTGCAGTCTTCTGCCAATTTCTTTACCATAATACTTGGATCGCTTTCCAATTTTGCCAGTACTAATTTTCTCAACTCTGCTTCTCTTTTGGATACCAGCCCCTGAACAAACACTAAGCGCTTAAAATTGTCTGCACTTAACTCTGCCGGCTTGAATTCTTCACAACGCTTATTCACATTGGCTGCGTACGTTATATAGTCTTGGTCATCATCTTTCATCAGATTCAAACATTTCTACCTCTTGTGAAACAGATGTCTTTTTACTAAATAATTCACTTAATATATTTACCACCTAGGTAAATGTCAACTCACTTGTTTTTTTTCGGTAAAATGTAGTTTACAAATTTGTTATGCTCTGCAGTTCCTAATTTGCTTAAAAGAAGCCTAACCTTCTTTCCTTCAGACCACAAGTGGCAGTCCTTTTTATACATGTCCGTATATTTTTTATAATACTCCTCAAAAGTTATCTCTTCATCTGGACTGTACGTGAATATTTCAATTGAATTCCATATTGTATTCTCTGGCAAAGAATCATTTTGTAGATTCTTCTCTTCCCTCTTCTCAGTTATTTCCAGAATTTTGTTTTGAAACTCCCTATGCATCTGTTCTTTTTTTTTTTTTTTTTTTTTTTTTTTTGAATTGCATTTGTCTATTGAAAGTTTCCTCCTGTAGCTGCATCTGGAATGTTTTCTGTTGCTATAATATTGTCATCTGTTGGAACTGGCACTTAAAGAATTCCCGGAATATATTTTTGCATTCCTCCATCTTTGCAAAAAATTTACACAATGCCTAAATACTGTAGAGGGGGGGGGTCCTACAAAATTTGAAATTCGTGACCTATTTGAGCAAACTGTATTATCGGGGGTGGGGAATATTTCTTTTCTCAGTCGAGAATACTACAGATTTTTTTGTCACTAAGTTGACGTCTTGGCTTGTGAAAAACTTTGCCAAGTTTTTTTTTATTTTTTTATTTTTTTTTTCTTAAGTGTGAATCTAAGTCTTTGTTGCCAAAGTTATTGTGGCGAGCAAATTTTTTCTTCCTTCGTATGAGTGCGAATCCTCATCGCCAAAGTTGTTGTGGAGTTATTTTGCAGTGGAGGCTTGTATTACACAGAGTAATCTTGTTGTGGTCACTGACTACTTTCGTATTTGACTGTCGTTCGACATCAACCAACCTTCGTTTCTCTTACTACTCCTACTTATATTAGGTGTGAGAGTCTATTAACTATAGAATAGGTGTGTTTCACCATAACAGTGAGAAATTTGATATATTTTTAGTGTTTATATGCTCCATCAATAAAAAGATGTCATAGGTGCATCAAAAGAATTGATGTGAGGAAGTCTGTGTTCTATACCTGAGGTAATGTATTGGTACAGTATAATACTTCAGGATGATGCCTCCACCCAGATATGCCACCCAATGAGATCTACAAAGACAAGGTTTGGTTGAAAGGCATTGATATATTTTTTTTTGTCAAGACCTGAAATGACACATTAGGTGGAAGATATCTGGGTAAAAATGCCTCGGCACCAACGTGCATTGATGGCAATCTATCAAGGTTGGTGTCCCCTGTCAAGGATACTCCAGCATCATCAAATGTGTCATAGAGTATCAATAATGTGCCTTCTACAAGTGAAGAGGAGACCATCTTGCTGGATTTGATGATTTTTCATACATAAGTGATGGTATAGAAGAAGTATTGAGTTCTTGCTCATGAAGAACAACACCGGAAAAGTGTGTCAGCATCATCATACCGCCAGCCAAGAAAAAGGAACAAAGACTGTGCCAGCAGCCATAGCACATTTCAAGATGGTTATTCTTAATGTACAGGGTCTGGCAGAAATACTTCCCACATATGACATTAGCTAGATGAAGACACCATTGCCACTAATAACTTATGATTATGTGTGAGGTATTTCTGCTGCACCCTGGATAACTTGGGACATCTTGTTTATCCTTTTTCATTCAATAAAAGTGTCTTTTTTATTTTATTTTTTTTTTTTTCTGAACCAACTTTGCTCCAAAATCTTCATTGGAATAGTTGGCAGAATAATAGAATTTTTCAGTTCCACTGGCTATAAGATCTAAACCCATTAAACTTTTTTATTTTATTTTAAATGCTTTAGTGTCAGTGTTTTTTTTCTAGGTCCAGTTGTGTTTTCTGAATGATAAAAAGGTTTGTTAGAATTTGTTCTTATATTTATCTCTGAATTGAAGACTAGAATCATACTTTCAAGCAAGTTTAGATAGTTTTGGAAATTGTAGACTTAACATTTACTTGCTTTTGCCAACATTTGTTGCTGATGTCAGACTTGATATTTTTTTTAGATTTTTCAAAAATTTGAATAAACCTTTTTATTTTATTTATTTTTTTTTTACTGCTGCTTACTGTCATTAAAATGTTATATGAAAAGGAAAAATGACATTTTAATTTTTCCTTTTTCATATTAAATAGTAAAAAAAAATGAAAAATATTTTTTTATGACAATATCCTGCTTCATTTTTACTTGTGAAAAAAGTTTACATTGTTTTTCTTTTTGTAATTGTATTATTTTTCAGCCTTTATTGTTTTAATATTCTACAGATTTTAAATTATTGTAAAATCTGACGCATTGTGTCCCCTCAGGACATAGATGATCATTGCTCTTCACAGCTTCCTTTTAAAATTACCTGCAAAATGTGTATTGCTAGGAATGATAATGGTTTAGTTTTTTTGTTTGTTTTTTTAACCTTCTTTACAGTTTTGAATTCAGTTTTCCATTTCCTAGACTGCTAATCATGGTTAGTAAACCTCACTATTTAACTAATAACTAGGAAGAATATTCCAAGAATATTAGTGCAAAGTGAACATGAACTGTATTAGCTGGAATTTGAAGATGACTTGTTGCTTTCATTTTCCATGAGTCAAATACTATATTCAAGATATATTTCTTTCATTTTTCAGATGGGTTGGATCAGGAAAGTATTTTTGTTTGATTAGATGTAGATGATGCTGGAGCTGACAATTTTGGTTTCTGTGGCCTTGTTGGCTTGCATTGTGGTCCTTGTTTTTGGATGTTCTTGTTTTGGAAAGTCCCCTCCTTTTAAAGTAAGTACCACTTTCTCTTCAAAACTTATATTTAACAATTTATCATCTTGTTAATCATTTGTTTGATCAGCAATAACTTTTGCCCTGTCACCATGTCTAAGTAGGCAGATTCCTTTATTTGATATCTTTCTCTATTTTATTTTAATCTTACTTTAATTTTGTTGGGACTGAAAATGACATTAAATATGGCCCAAGGTTAGAATATATTTGCCACAGTCAATATTGTTTTTTTTTTTCTCTCTCTCATATATTAAATTAATGCAAAAGTTCCCAGTACCACCACCATATCCTTTTAGGATGTAGCCGAGCATGGCTCTTCACAACTTCCTGTCTTTTGTTGCCCTAAGTTTTACCCCTCTCTCATTCCCCCTTTTTTTTCCCTTTGTTCTACTATTTATTCACTCAAACCCAAATAGGTTATATACTGTTTCCATTGCCTTCAATATATAATGTAAACATTTAAATTCTCCCTTTCCTCATGTGTTCCAGAAATTTCTTTCTAATTGTTAGTATTGGTTTCCTTGTCTCTATTTCATTAAAACTTCCTTGTTACTTACAGGGTATTTTCAGCATTCATCAGTAGAATTACATTTGTCATTTTCCTTCATCTGATTGTCCAACATTCACTACCAGCTAGGAGATTAGTTATTACATAGCAGTTCAGCAATCCTTTCTTTGTTTCTAAGAAAACATTCCTCTCTCTTTGCTCAATTTTTGAAAGGCATCTTTTGTTTTTCCTAAGCACCACCATCTTTTATAATCTGAAGGAAATCTTAATGGTTTTTTTAATGTTTATATATGAATACTTTTAAGAATTGTTTAGGGGAGAAAATGATAATTTTACTTTGCTGGTGAAGATCATGACTAGATATAAAATTCTTATTCAATAGTTTTTATTAACTCATAAAAGAAAAGTGCAGTAGAATCTGATGAATGCATCACTGAAGTTTGATATTGATGCAATAGGTTTGTATCAGGAATTGCTTGCAAAACATTTTTTCTTATATCAAGCACAAAAAACACCCTGGAAGATGTGAAAACATGAACCATTTGAAGGAAAATGATGTACAAACGTGAACTTGTACATTTCTTTTTAATTTTTCGGTTTGTAATCAGACTTATGGACACACATTGTTATAGATTATCTGCTCTTGGATAATTATTTCTCTTGTTTTGTTAGGACTCCATCATGTGGGGTGGGTAGGACACTGCATGTCAAAAAATATGAACATTCTTTGTTTTCAAAGGGAAAAAGTTTTCTATCAACTCGGCAATTTCTTTTGTGTTACTTTGTACATAAAATTAGCAAGGTGGTAAAATGAACAAATGTGGGAATTTATGAATTTTTCTAGTCACTAGCAGGATTTTGTTGTTTGGCACTATAACAGAATAGAACTATGTGGAGAAAGATTGGAAGAATTTTGTTTGGTACTCTTTTTTTTTTTCTGCCAACATTGGAAATGATAATGGTAAGCAACAAGCAATATTATTGTCTGTGGTTGGTGCTAAAGATTATGCAATTATTTGAAGTCTAGCAGATAACAGACAGAATAAACGTTTGACAAATTATGTCAACATATAGAGCACATTGACTTTGACCTTAATGAAATTTTGTTCTATTCTTGGGAGAGAAGCAGCAATAGAACAATCAATCTGTATGTATCTACACTTAAGAAAATTCCTGATTGGGAATGCAATTTTTGGGACCAAATTAACAAGTATCTAATGGGTAGGCTAATAGTGGGGGTGTGATATATAAAAAAAAAGTCAGCAGTTTTTACTCAGTAGAAGCACACTGCTTTTAGAGAAAGCATTTAGAGAAATTTCAGTAACAACTGAGTTTACTACAAAATTTTCCAATGACATCAAAAATGCCAGGCCTGCCAGGCAATGAATCTGATAGTTCTATTGAAACATTAAAGCTGCTGCTATGAAAGCACTAACCATCTTGCTGCAGAGTATCCTTTCAAAGAAAAATGTTGCGCATGACAAGTGTGAAAGATTAAAGATTTTCCTGACATGTCCATGAGGTTGAAAATCAGGTGATATAGTGTGACTGGTAACGTTAACATTGTTATATAAAGGAAGCAAGAGTTGTCTGCATTGTAATTTGTGGAAGGTGAGATTCCCAGTTTTGCTCAGAAATTGGCTGTAGAAAGTCAAATTAGATTGGTGAATCATGTTTCCTTTGAGCAAAGAGATTTTTGAGAGGGTGCTGTTTAAAGGTTTTATAATGACCTTACCAGTTGAGACAGCAATGCTGGTTTTGTCCAGTACCTTATTTACAAAAGGATGGAATTAAGAAATGATTGCTGAAAGATAGATGTCATTAAATATATTCTCATTGGCTTGCACCATTGTACCACTCTCTAACATGTGAGGACTTTAAACAAGCCATAAATGTTTGTGCACTGTGATACACATCTGATACCATATACTTAAAAGAAGAGAAATTTAGTAAGCTTTGAGTGATGCATATCAGTAGTTTGAGTTATATGAAGAAATACAAGAGCTGTTTTTCATTTATAATCATGGTCTGTATCAACCCACTCACTTGCAATCAACTATGCATAATTCAACAGACATTTTTCAGTGTGAAGTGGATAAGCAACTTCAGGACATTTCTTTCTGTAAAATGTAGGTGGCTATTTTGTTCTGGGGAATTGATAATATTAGTCATCTTATAAAAGATAAAGAAAGTAGAGGATTGTTCAGTTTCAGTAAAAAGTTCATATGATGGACTTATTTAATTTCTTTGTGACAATAGCTTGACATATTTGGAAACTAAAAAGTATTCTACTATTAATAGGGTATATGAATTGACAATGAATATCTGGAGAAAATATATTGTTAAAGTTGGGCTTTAAATCAGCAAACTATAAGAATTGTAAAGATGATGTAATACAGTGGGGAAGTGCAATTGTTATCCCTTTTAGGCTGACACTGAAGGTGTTGCAAGAACAGATCCATGTTGGAACAGTTTCTGTGGAGGCTCTTGCTGGTGACAGTCTTAAAATATTTTTTTTTTTTTTAAAAATCTAATTCAGTCAGGAATATTCAAGTCAGACATGAAGTAAAAGTATATGTTGATTTTCTCTGGTCCATTCATGAGACGTGTACTTGATTATTGTTGATGTGTTCATGCAGTTTGGGAAGATGACCAAAGAAAAAGTTTACAAGATAAAGCCAAGAAATCTTCAGTAATTGAAAGAAAGAATAACAGAAGAAATTAACATTTAAAAATAAGAATGAACAGGTGTCAATCTTGTTTAAAAGAAAGAAGTCAATTTGAAAAGTAACAATTTGCTTGATATACTTAAATATTTAGTGAAAATATAAGTGTGTTGATAAAATATTACCTTAAAATTAACTTTCAGCCACCCTTTTTATATGAAAGGAATGAAATAAATTAAGCTTAATGTGACATGGAGTCATAATTATTACATATAAATGAAATTGATATTGGTCTGCAAGATTAGGTATTAAGTCTTGCTCAATCTAGAATGAGGTCCTAAGAAATGGGCATTCAGTGATCTCCAAACTTATTTCACTAGTATTGGTCTGCAAGATTTACTTACTTTTAGTCTTGTCACATGCTGATCATGTTTTGGTTCATCAGTGTATAGACCATCTCATAAAAACAATATACATCTGTGCAAGAAATCTAGAAGACAGTAAGCCAACCTTGAGTTTTCTGTGCTGAATGCCACATTTATGAGCATGATTTTGATATAGGCTTAATTGTTATGACCAGAAGACAAGGTCAAAGTATTTCTGAAATGGCAGTTTGTTGAGTGCTCATGTTCAATTTTGGTGAGTACTCATTAGCTATGATCTGCAACTTAAAAAAATGGTATTGGACAGCCATGATTTATTGATGTGAAAAGTGAATGGAGGATTAATGTAGCACAAATTGCATCTAAGCTTTTATCTGGGTGAAGGATGGTATGCATCATAACATGTTACACACACATTTTCTTATTCTAACCAATGTCAATTGCTGATAGTGTCTTAAATGAGCATATGAATATCACAACTAAACCTTCTATCAATGATAGGCCATTTGATCTGATGAAACTCATTTTATAAGTAGTGTGGATGACGGTGCATGTGTATCATCTTGGTTAAGAAGTGAGGACACCAGGATGCATTGTTGCTATTGACTGAGAAATTTCTGTCTTTGTTTATCAGCTTTATTCTTCAAAAAATAAAGTACAATTAAATTTTATTCAGTTATATATTTACCATTATTTTGTAGTAACTTGTTTCTTAATAGGTAGCTCTTCAATACACTTTAAGTAAAATTCTGTGTATTTTGATATGAAAATTTTTGCCAAACTCATGAATCTTTTTTTCATTAGAGAAAGACCCCCCCCCAACTCCAATGATTTTCCTTCTATTGAAAAAGGTAATCAGTTGGTGCATGTTATATAGGAATAAAGTGTCACTGCCAAAACTGGAGTTTGAACATAGATCACCAGAGAGCAAACACAGGCGATCCCATTTAGAATAAGTAGATCATGTGATGGTAAAGGAAATGTATATATGGGAATTAGCGTGGTGTCTAAGTGATCACTATATAGATCACTATTTGGTGGTTACTTTTTGAGCAAGTATTATCAAGCGACTACTATTAGTGCAAGTGTTATTCAAAGGCATCTGACACCAGTATTGTTCAATGACATTACTATAGTTGTATCTGCAATTACAAAGTCTCTACTATAATGAGCATTAAAAAAGTGGCAATAAGTGTTTGTTGATATCACAAAATGGCAAGGTCAGTTGAATATTGTTAAGGTGGGTAGAATGGACCAACAGATTTCCAATATTTTTTTTTCTGTGTTCTGATTGCTGTAAGTGGCCTTGCATTATCATGGAAAACAACAGGTAGCTTTTTGACCAAACTTTAATGGACACATTCTAGATTCTGGATGCATAAATGTGCATTTTGTATTTCATTGTTTTAAGAACTCTAAATGAATAATATCCCAATGCTTCCATCTCCTGCACGCACACACGCACACCACCTCTCTTACATGTAACTCGTCTTTTGGTTGTGGGAATTTCTTTGTAAGTCCACTGATTTTACATTGAATATGGCCATATCTAAACCAATTTTTCATCACTAGTTATGATATATTTAAGGAATGCTTATTTACACATTCATCGCTACAATTGGTTACAAAAAATACAAATTACTTGACTCAACCTAATAAAAAATAACTTCTTTTCCAACACAGGTGACTGAGGAACAATATGATTGATTTTATTATTGATAACAGGAAAAAAAGAGAAGAAAAAAATAATGTTTGATTTTGTATTGTTCATCTATTTGTTCATAAATCATATTTATTGCAAATTCTTAGGTGTTCCTATTTTGATGTCTAAAATTGGTTTCTTTTAAAGAGTTTTGAGGATGAACCTGAGGACCCTCGTGAACCTTATGCAGAAAGCAGTGGCAACCAAGATGGAGATAACACATCCTTGGTTACTTTTGAGCCCCTCCCAGACATTTTGGCGAAGGCAATACCTTCCACCACAGCGCTGAGGCCACGTATTACCTGCATTGCAACTGATGAAGAGGATTTTACTCCTCGGATTGTCCGTGAGTAGATTCTTAATTAACCTTTTTATTGGTCATGTTATTCTTTAAATTATCTCTCTCATAAATAATAGTTGTTACATTTGCATATACAGTTGTATACACTAAATGTAACAACAATTAAGGAAGTGAGGTAGTATTTAAGAAATAAGCACAATATTTAATTTATCTTTTTTTTTTCTTTTCAATTTCTTTTTGAAAGCACTGCTGTTTTTTTTTTTTTTTTTTTTTTTTTTTTTTTTTTTTTTTTTTTTTTTTTTAAATCTGTTTACTACAAATGACAATTTCAATTCAAATAATGCTTTCTTGCCATCATATGCATTTGTAATTGCTCATTAATAAAAACAAAGTATGGAGAATAAAAAATCTGTGTAGTTTAAATCAAATTATCATTATGCTTGATTTTGCTGGCAGTCTGTACATGATAGTTACAACTATGAATAAATTTATGTTCTAATGATGATTCAGGTTATGAATATTTAACTAGGCTTACTCTGAGATTTTTTATATAATGTCAGTTGGTATCAACAGGAAATAAAGACATTATGAATGCATAAGCTATAGAAGCTGCCATATTTAATCAAAAGAATGATAGGTTTTAACAATCACTTAATTCAAACAACCCATGCCATTTATACAATTACAACTTGTTGATACATGTATACAAACTTTTTGCCTTTATAATAAAAAATCTTCATACATTTTTTGTCATATATATATATATATATATATATATATATATATATATATATATATATATATAAAATGTGTGTGCGATCGAAAAGTAATGCTTCCTATTTATTTTCATGGAAAGTACTACAAGGAACGGAACATGACACCACCACTGGATATAGCATGTTTTCTGCTACAAAATATTACTTTTTTTTTTTTCTCTCTCTTTTTTTTTTTTTTTATACAGTCATCACCATTGTCTATATATTTTTGCCTGTGATGAATAAGAGCTAGCAAACTGTACTAAAAAGAAAAATTTGCCCCTATCTAGCATTATTGTCAGGAAAATGTCTTCTAGCTTTTCATCAACTCAAACAGATGAAAAATTGGAAGATCTAAATCCAGAGTATTGGGTGAGGGTGAGTCCAGCCTAAATTTGCAGCATTCATCCATGGTTTTTAAATTGGTGCATGGCATTTTCACATGGCAACCAAAAATTATCTTCTGGACTGAATCTAGAAATTCTGGCCTTCAACTAAGCCAATATTTAAAGTTGATGGTTTGTCCAAATTCCAGGAAATCCAGAATGCTTCATCGCCAAAAGACAGTGAACATCATTTTACAAGCTGATATTTGTATCTTTAATTATTTTTCTTTGGTTGCACATATTTTGTAAAATGGTAAATTTTACCAACACTTATTCATCATCTTGCAATTTTTCCTAAGTCATGTTCTTATTAAATTTAGAAATGAATCCTCATTTTTCTCCATGGAAGATATTCCTTGCTTAATCTTGTTTCAATTAGTGCAGTAATTTGTAACACATTAGCTAATTCTGTAGTCACATATATTAATTCTTTTGACCTATCAATGAAAAATCAAGCAGAATCATTTTGCTTCATATGCAGCAATTGTTTTCATGATGCAATTCAAAACATTTGTACTCATGAGGCTGGAGGTCAGAAACTAACATGTAACAATTCAAAGGTTTTATGTCTAGAAATTTCACTGCCTTAATTTCTTAATCTTAACTACTGTTAAATTTGTTCTTGAAGCAGGAGGAGGAACTTTACATACCTTTTGATTTTTAGCATAAATGTTTGTTTTTATACCTAATACTCTTAATATCCCGATGAAAACTTTTCAGGGTGAAAGTAATTCTGAAAGTTTCTCTGACTAAGAAAGGGATTAAAAAACATTTTGATTGTTTGGTTAGATTTTGGAAAGTGGGTTGGGCCAAGAACTTTTCAACACCCTCCTTGTATATCTTCCGTACATGACTGCATGAAAACTAAACATAAAAATAAAGAAAAAATTAAAAAGAAAAAATAAAACTTACCAAATTACAGTAATGACTTTTTTCTTTTTTTTTTTTTTTTTTTTTTTTAATTCATTATTTCCTATTATTTTTATTTTTTTTAACCTTATATACTCATGTAACATGCAATGTTTATTTTAAATACAGCTGTACTTTTTGACTACAGTAAATGGATATATAGTTCAGCCAATGGTATAGCTAGGGCTAGCAGTACATATGCTAATTTTATATCTCATGTATGATGTAACCTTAAAATTAACTTCAAAATTAGATCTTCAAAAGTTGCATGATACGCGATAATTACATGGACAGATTTCTTCAATATATTTTTTTTCTTTCACAACTGCCATTTATTTCAGTGTACAATTGTATTTTTTTGTTTTCATTTTTTTTTTTTTTTTACTTCAGCCATCCAACAAGCATTTCCTCGAAAGCAGTTGACTTACATCACTGAGATGGGAATGGGATGGTTTGGTCAGGTGAGAATTTTTTTTATTGATTGCATTAATCAATAGTTCCAGGTGTGATATCTTCATTTTCTACTTTACACACCTGATCTTTCCTACTTCACATTTTTGAAATGCCACACTGAGAGAATTAATTTCACTTTTCACCTTGTACATCATTTTCTTTTAATAAGATTTCTCAAATACAGAAGCTGGAAGACAAAAAAAAATATATTGTTTAACAAATACATAGTGCCTCCTCAAATATCCACTAAAATAACAATTAAAGTGATTTTATATATATATATATATATATATATATAATTTAACATTTTGATGCAAATGTTATTATAGTGGTCACTTCATATTTGAAAGAGATGTCCCTTTTTATTTATTAAAAAATGTCTATTACATCTCTTGGTCTGAGCATTTGAGAAATGTTAGTAAAGAAAATGTGTTCTCTGCCAAGGATTGAACATGCATCTCCTTTTGTAGTGCACACCACTATTTGTACACACTGTTTCATAAATAAAAATGAGGCGTCTATTTCAAATACAAAGTGTTCACTATAATAATGTTCAAAGTAATAAAAATGTCAAATTAAAAATAAATCCATTAAGTCTTTACAAATTGCTTTGTTTATGTTTCGGATATGAAAGTGAGTTGGTGAGGGGGGGGCTTTGAATAATCTGGGTGAAGAGAATGTCCTTTCTTTTTTTCTTTGCTTACTGTGACATTCTTCTTGGCTGAGTGGTAAATCACACTGGATCAAATGGTGATTTCCCCTACAAAGGTTCAACCCCTGCTGGAGAACTCATTTTCTTTAAGATTTCTCAATGTGCAGGCTGATAGACACAATACACACTGTTCCATAAATAAAAATGGAGCATCTATTTCAAATACAAGGTGTCCACTATAATAACGTTTGAAGTAATAAATATATATAAAGTGAACATTGAGGTCAACACCCAGCAACAACAGAAAGTTTCATGCTTATAAGCAATCTTCAGGCAAGAAGCAGACTGTCATTGCTGGGTGTTGACCTCAATGTCCACGTTTATATTTACATATGCTCAATCCCTGATATTGATTACTTTAACCTATAAATCTATAAATATAGCATACCATAAAACTATATTTTTATCATTTTTTAATATATATTTTAAATAGTACTTGCAATGTTGAAAAGCTTGCTAATAAGATAATCAATATTTGATCAATGAACTTATTTTGAACATTATTCCCATCATCTTCAGAACTTTATAACAAGAAGTGACTTTATTTATATGGGTAAGTATTAGTCATTTCCATCCTTAACATTCCAAGAGGATAAGCTCCAAGACATGGAGGTTGCCCATCACTTATCCACCATCATTTGATACTTAATGTTGTATTACTTTGTTATTTTGGATAAACACGCATAATCCATTAGTTAATCATCTTAGCTGAATTGTAAAATACATTGTAAATCATTACAAGTTGTATTATGAAAGAAAAAGATCTTTACAAGGAAATTTTCAGGAATTCCTAGTGATAAAGATATCAGGAATTGGTGGTAACATTGCCACTGCACCTTTTCTTAATGTTGACTACAAAAAATTTGTAAAATGGTTTTGAAAATTAGGAATATAGGTAGGCAGGAAAATATGTTGAGATAGTTTTACTCCTTAAACTGCTTTTGTTCAGCCTTTTCTTATTATTTAATTTATCTGTTTCTCTTTTAATGATCCTGATTGATTAATCAACTAGTTTTCTTAACTGTATTATTCATATATTCCTTAGAAAGACTATGATATTTTTTCTTAGAAAAAACTATATTAGTTGTAGATTTTCAATGGATTCACTGAATAAATAACTGAATATACAGATGAACAAATGAATGAAGTTTGTGTGTGTGTGTGTGTGTATATATATATATATATATATATATATATATAAAAATAAGTTATCAATAATCTTGTTTTTATATACTCTGATAAATAATATCCCTGTTTTCTTTAAATTAATCAATAAATAAAATATTTATTTTTCCAATTTGCTGGGATGTTTCACTATTATTATTTCTTTTTTTTTTTTTTCTTAAATTTCACCGCAGTGATGTTATCCTCCCATATAAATTCTAAACTTTATTGTCCAAATGTTAACTGTTCTATTAAATTTTTTGATAGTTTCGTTAAATGGAAGACTAGTGATGGTAGCAACAACAATAATATTTTTAATTAATTAATAACTATTCTGATTAACAGTAAAAAAAAAAAAAAAAAAAGCAATCACTTTTTTCTTTTTTTTCTTTTTTTTCATAAATACATAATGTATTATAAATATATTTTTATAATTATAAATGTATAATGTATTATTTAAGTTATGAATATATAATTTATTATTTATAGAGGATTTGTTTTGCTTAATTGGAGTATATAGGATCACCTATTGTCTGGCCTGAAACTATTGAACATGCAGCTTTTTATGTTTCCAAAAAATCATGATAAAATTAAAGTGGGTTTAATCTATCTACACCTTGTATAGAGCATAGATGAATTCAAAATGGTATTGAAAAGCTGAGGTTTAACCTCAATCCAAAGCAGTATTAGCCTATTTCCAGCTTAAAATACTGGAAAACACAGTTGACAAGTGTTTATTTATAGCAACCCTCTTGAGGTGACAGAATAGGCCTAGAGCTGCAAAAGGAGAGAATTCTATGGTGGCAATTTTCACCTTCAGCTAGATAAAGGTTAAACAGGAACCCCCTGTCCACAAGACCTCTTTCTGTTATCAGCATGCACTCCGAGATTTTCTCTGTGATGCCCCTTAAACTGACATCTTTAAACTCCCAATTGAAAATTGTGCCACTGATGTTTCTTCTTGGGTCAAAGCCAACATGAATGCTTTCATCCCTACTTGGAAATACCAGGTGAAACCTCAATCTTCAATATGGTTCACACCAGCATGCTCGGCTGCTATAACACACAAGAACTATTATTTTTTGCTATACCAGCGTGATTACTCTTGTCACAACAGGTGCCGATTCAATAAATGTAAGCAAGTCCTCAAAGGAGCAAAGTCCTTGTTTTCCAAGAGAATGAAGCACTGCATAGACCCTAACAACTTTGGCTCTTGCAATTACTGGCGGCTCTATAATAGGGCATTAAATATGTAAAATATCTCTATTCCTCCTCTCTTCAATCAATATGAGGTGTTATCATCTTCTGCTGATAAAGCTGAATGCTTTGCCCATAAATTCTCCTAAGTTTACTCTTGACTCTGCTTAACTACCCTCCTAGAACTGAGTCTCTGTTGAGTGATATGCATATAAACCATTCCATGGTTCTGCCATCATCTCTAATCTAGATTCCAACAAAGCATGTGAACCGAATATTTTTTTTTTTTTTTTTTTTGTATTTCAACCTAAGCAAGGTGGGAAGTCACTAGCATGCAAGGGGTTACAGAGAGTTGGAGCAAGAGCAAATAGGAGTGAGAGAGAGAAGGATATGGGATAGATCAAGGCATCTGGAGACATTGATTGACATTACATTTGAATAGTTGGAGATAATAGCTCTCAGAGAAACAGGAAAAGAGGAGGGAGTTCCACAAGCAAGAGGTGCGAGACATGAAGCTATTGGAGTAGAAGAGACGGCTACATTTAACAGTTTCGACAGTGAAAGGATGTGAGTGAGATGCCAGCCTAGTAGAACGCTTAAATTCTTTGAAGTCTGGGAACCAGTGAAAGCAGCTCATCGGAGCAGCCACCATGAAAGTATTTATAAAAAAAAGACAGAGGGAGGCGACGGCACGTCTGTGAGAGAGCAACTGCAAATGAGATGCCATTGCATATCCGTCTCTGGATTTTATCAAGAACCTTGAGACAAACAGAAGGGCCACCAGACCATATATGGCAGCAATACTCCATGCAAGGGCGAATGGTTGATTTGAAGGATCAACTCCCATGAGAAAAATTTCCTGGCGTGGCACAGGGAACCAAGTTTCTTGTGGTGGACAAAGCTATTGACTCAATGTATTTGTTCCATCTCAGGTTAGCAGTCAATGTGAGACCGAGTAGTCGCAAAGAGGAGCTCTTGAGAAGTTGAGCATCAGACATTCTAATGGGGGGCAGGGATGGTTCTCTGTGGTGAGTAAGAGAGCAGTTTTGTTTTTGAGGTATTAAAGTTAACCAGCCAATTTCTGCCTCAGTTCACAACCAATTGGAGGTCCTGTTTGAGATGAACAGCCAGGTTAGTTTTGTCAACGACACTAGATTTTTGTTTTTGAGGCAGGAGTAAATTGTAGAGTCGTCTGCGTAAATGCCTACTTGGAAATCTATGATGTCAGGAAGATCATTGATGAAGATAAGGAATAGAAAAGGCCCAGGATGGAGCCTTGAGGAACACCTGCATTCGTGGGATAGGAGCTGGAGAAGAATCCATTGAGGACGACCTTCAATACATGATTTGACAGGAATGATTGTATTAAGTCAAACAATTGACCTGAAATTCCATAACCCTGAAGCTTGTGAAGAAGTCCAGCATGCCAGACCCTATCAAATGCTTTGGAGATATCTAGAGCCACAGCACAAGCTTCTCCGTTATTATGACGAGCTTGGTAAACAATTTCAGTGATGGCCATAAGCACATCAGCTGTAGAATAGGCAAAGCGGAAACCATATTGCTTGTCTGAGAGCAGATCATGGGATGTAAGGTGCTTAACCACTTTGGCGTTGATTAAAGCTTTGAAGACTTTGCTGAAGAGGGGTAGGAGACTGTATTCCTGTAATAGTCATTAAGAAGTGTGTTCCCAAAATAGCTCCTGTTCTCTCTAAACTGTATAATAGATGCCTCACTGTTTCCTGCTTTCCTGCCTGCTGGAAATCATCATCTGTTGTTCCAGTTTTTAAGAACTGTGGTGAGCCATTTGACTCTCCCAACTATCAGCCTTTTATCTCTTTTTGGGAAACTTCTATTGTTCATCATCTCTCATTGCAGGGCTTTATCTCAGACAAACAATATGACTTTTGTTTCTTCAGGTCAACTGCTGATGTA